GACGCCAAAAGGCGCACAACTCAAGGGCAATGCACCATCAGAGTATGAGAGCTCGGGGCAAGCATCTACACTATGGGGACCTAATTTTCCAGTAAAAATATGATAATTGGTTCTTTACCCTTCTATCTGGCAACAAAACTGACACCTTTTTGCAAGGAGTCATGTTTGCATAGACCGCAATACCTGCAGTCATAATACAAACAAAATAACATAACTCTGATAATGTGCACTGTCCTTGAAGTTGATTGGTCCACACCCGAGACAGCTTTCCTTCGAGCCTAGTCTCATATGGGTTGGACCAGATGACTGCCAAAAGGCGCACAACTCAAGGACAATGCACCATCAGAGTATGAGAGCTCGGGGCAAGCATCTACACTATGAGGACCTCATTTGCCAGTAAAAATATGATAATTGGTTCTTTACCCTTCTATCTGGCAACAAAACTGACACCTTTTTGCAAGGAGTCATGTTTGCATAGACCGCAATACCTGCAGTCATAATACAAACAAAAGAACATAACTCTGATAATGTGCACTGTCCTTGAAGTTGATTGGTCCACACCCGAGACAGCTTTCCTTCGAGCCTAGTCTCATATGGGTTGGACCAGATGACGCCAAAAGGCGCACAACTCAAGGACAATGCACCATCAGAGTATGAGAGCTCGGGGCAAGCATCTACACTATGGGGACCTCATTTTCCAGTAAAAATATGATAATTGGTTCTTTACCCTTCTATCTGGCAACAAAACTGACACCTTTTTGCAAGGAGTCATGTTTGCATAGACCGCAATACCTGCAGTCATAATACAAACAAAATAACATAACTCTGATAATGTGCACTGTCCTTGAAGTTGATTGGTCCACACCCGAGACAGCTTTCCTTCGAGCCTAGTCTCATATGGGTTGGACCAGATGACGCCAAAAGGCGCACAACTCAAGGACAATGCACCATCAGAGTATGAGAGCTCGGGGCAAGCATCTACACTATGGGGACCTCATTTGCCAGTAAAAATATGATAATTGGTTCTTTACCCTTCTATCTGGCAACAAAACTGACACCTTTTTGCAAGGAGTCATGTTTGCATAGACCGCAATACCTGCAGTCATAATACAAACAAAAGAACATAACTCTGATAATGTGCACTGTCCTTGAAGTTGATTGGTCCACACCCGAGACAGCTTTCCTTCGAGCCTAGTCTCATATGGGTTGGACCAGATGACGCCAAAAGGCGCACAACTCAAGGACAATGCACCATCAGAGTATGAGAGCTCGGGGCAAGCATCTACACTATGGGGACCTCATTTTCCAGTAAAAATATGATAATTGGTTCTTTACCCTTCTATCTGGCAACAAAACTGACACCTTTTTGCAAGGAGTCATGTTTGCATAGACCGCAATACCTGCAGTCATAATACAAACAAAAGAACATAACTCTGATAATGTGCACTGTCCTTGAAGTTGATTGGTCCACACCCGAGACAGCTTTCCTTCGAGCCTAGTCTCATATGGGTTGGACCAGATGACGCCAAAAGGCGCACAACTCAAGGGCAATGCACCATCAGAGTATGAGAGCTCGGGGCAAGCATCTACACTATGAGGACCTCATTTGCCAGTAAAAATATGATAATTGGTTCTTTACCCTTCTATCTGGCAACAAAACTGACACTTTTTTGCAAGGAGTCATGTTTGCATAGACCGCAATACCTGCAGTCATAATACAAACAAAAGAACATAACTCTGATAATGTGCACTGTCCTTGAAGTTGATTGGTCCACACCCGAGACAGCTTTCCTTCGAGCCTAGTCTCATATGGGTTGGACCAGATGACGCCAAAAGGCGCACAACTCAAGGACAATGCACCATCAGAGTATGAGAGCTCGGGGCAAGCATCTACACTATGGGGACCTCATTTTCCAGTAAAAATATGATAATTGGTTCTTTACCCTTCTATCTGGCAACAAAACTGACACCTTTTTGCAAGGAGTCATGTTTGCATAGACCGCAATACCTGCAGTCATAATACAAACAAAATAACATAACTCTGATAATGTGCACTGTCCTTGAAGTTGATTGGTCCACACCCGAGACAGCTTTCCTTCGAGCCTAGTCTCATATGGGTTGGACCAGATGACGCCAAAAGGCGCACAACTCAAGGGCAATGCACCATCAGAGTATGAGAGCTCGGGGCAAGCATCTACACTATGGGGACCTAATTTTCCAGTAAAAATATGATAATTGGTTCTTTACCCTTCTATCTGGCAACAAAACTGACACCTTTTTGCAAGGAGTCATGTTTGCATAGACCGCAATACCTGCAGTCATAATACAAACAAAATAACATAACTCTGATAATGTGCACTGTCCTTGAAGTTGATTGGTCCACACCCGAGACAGCTTTCCTTCGAGCCTAGTCTCATATGGGTTGGACCAGATGATGCCAAAAGGCGCACAACTCAAGGACAATGCACCATCAGAGTATGAGAGCTCGGGGCAAGCATCTACACTATGAGGACCTCATTTGCCAGTAAAAATATGATAATTGGTTCTTTACCCTTCTATCTGGCAACAAAACTGACACTTTTTTGCAAGGAGTCATGTTTGCATAGACCGCAATACCTGCAGTCATAATACAAACAAAAGAACATAACTCTGATAATGTGCACTGTCCTTGAAGTTGATTGGTCCACACCCGAGACAGCTTTCCTTCGAGCCTAGTCTCATATGGGTTGGACCAGATGACGCCAAAAGGCGCACAACTCAAGGACAATGCACCATCAGAGTATGAGAGCTCGGGGCAAGCATCTACACTATGGGGACCTCATTTTCCAGTAAAAATATGATAATTGGTTCTTTACCCTTCTATCTGGCAACAAAACTGACACCTTTTTGCAAGGAGTCATGTTTGCATAGACCGCAATACCTGCAGTCATAATACAAACAAAATAACATAACTCTGATAATGTGCACTGTCCTTGAAGTTGATTGGTCCACACCCGAGACAGCTTTCCTTCGAGCCTAGTCTCATATGGGTTGGACCAGATGACGCCAAAAGGCGCACAACTCAAGGACAATGCACCATCAGAGTATGAGAGCTCGGGGCAAGCATCTACACTATGGGGACCTCATTTGCCAGTAAAAATATGATAATTGGTTCTTTACCCTTCTATCTGGCAACAAAACTGACACCTTTTTGCAAGGAGTCATGTTTGCATAGACCGCAATACCTGCAGTCATAATACAAACAAAAGAACATAACTCTGATAATGTGCACTGTCCTTGAAGTTGATTGGTCCACACCCGAGACAGCTTTCCTTCGAGCCTAGTCTCATATGGGTTGGACCAGATGACGCCAAAAGGCGCACAACTCAAGGACAATGCACCATCAGAGTATGAGAGCTCGGGGTAAGCATCTACACTATGGGGACCTCATTTTCCAGTAAAAATATGATAATTGGTTCTTTACCCTTCTATCTGGCAACAAAACTGACACCTTTTTGCAAGGAGTCATGTTTGCATAGACCGCAATACCTGCAGTCATAATACAAACAAAATAACATAACTCTGATAATGTGCACTGTCCTTGAAGTTGATTGGTCCACACCCGAGACAGCTTTCCTTCGAGCCTAGTCTCATATGGGTTGGACCAGATGACGCCAAAAGGCGCACAACTCAAGGACAATGCACCATCAGAGTATGAGAGCTCGGGGCAAGCATCTACACATTATCAGAGTTATGTTCTTTTGTTTGTATTATGACTGCAGGTATTGCGGTCTATGCAAACATGACTCCTTGCAAAAAGGTGTCAGTTTTGTTGCCAGATAGAAGGGTAAAGAACCAATTATCATATTTTTACTGGCAAATGAGGTCCCCATAGTGTAGATGCTTGCCCCGAGCTCTCATACTCTGATGGTGCATTGTCCTTGAGTTGTGCGCCTTTTGGCGTCATCTGGTCCAACCCATATGAGACTAGGCTCGAAGGAAAGCTGTCTCGGGTGTGGACCAATCAACTTCAAGGACAGTGCACATTATCAGAGTTATGTTCTTTTGTTTGTATTATGACTGCAGGTATTGCGGTCTATGCAAACATGACTCCTTGCAAAAAGGTGTCAGTTTTGTTGCCAGATAGAAGGGTAAAGAACCAATTATCATATTTTTACTGGCAAATGAGGTCCCTATAGTGTAGATGCTTGCCCCGAGCTCTCATACTCTGATGGTGCATTGTCCTTGAGTTGTGCGCCTTTTGGCGTCATCTGGTCCAACCCATATGAGACTAGGCTCGAAGGAAAGCTGTCTCGGGTGTGGACCAATCAACTTCAAGGACAGTGCACATTATCAGAGTTATGTTCTTTTGTTTGTATTATGACTGCAGGTATTGCGGTCTATGCAAACATGACTCCTTGCAAAAAGGTGTCAGTTTTGTTGCCAGATAGAAGGGTAAAGAACCAATTATCATATTTTTTACTGGCAAATGAGGTCCCCATAGTGTAGATGCTTGCCCCGAGCTCTCATACTCTGATGGTGCATTGTCCTTGAGTTGTGCGCCTTTTGGCGTCATCTGGTCCAACCCATATGAGACTAGGCTCGAAGGAAAGCTGTCTCGGGTGTGGACCAATCAACTTCAAGGACAGTGCACATTATCAGAGTTATGTTCTTTTGTTTGTATTATGACTGCAGGTATTGCGGTCTATGCAAACATGACTCCTTGCAAAAAGGTGTCAGTTTTGTTGCCAGATAGAAGGGTAAAGAACCAATTATCATATTTTTACTGGCAAATGAGGTCCCCATAGAATAAATTGGATACTTTTTCGTCAATTTAATACAAAAATAACAATGATAATTGATCGTGTACAACATTTTTTTAAACAAAGATACAGACGTTGAACTAAGTCAGGAGAGACTGAATGTGCACTCGGGTTTCAGTTAGTGTTTGTGATTTGCACTCTGGTTGTGTAAGAAGCGATCGAATTTTCGCTGTTTTGGCAGATTGAGCATCTACCTACCTCAGCGAGCCTCTTGCCCTCCGCGGTGCTTACGAGACGGCCCTCATCCTCCACCGCGTCCGTTTTGTTGCCGAGCAAAAACACGACCACGTCATCCTCCACCTTCTCCTGCAAGACGCAAGGTAAAGGTGTCACTCAGCTGGCGATCGAGCACCAGCAGCACGGACTGAGCTCACCAGTAAACATGGAACGTTGTACCAACGTTGGCCCAATGGAATTGAGTGCTAAAGTCGATGAAGCAGGGTCCATTTATTCCAACTGTTGCACACTCAAAATGAAGGACATGGGCAGGTACTCCAAATCGGGGGCAAACACAGTTATTGTGGTAATCTGTATAATGCAACAGCACGTGTGTCACACAGCAATCCTCAACCGAGTCGCCATTAACCACGTGACTGGTGTACAAGTCAGGTTACTCAATAACCCTGCCAGCCACCTACAGGCCCTACTCAGTATCGCATGCTAGTGAACACACGTGCATTGATGTACTGCACAGTCATAAGGACCTTCACAAAAGCACACTTTATTTCTGCATCAGGAAATAATTAAAAGAGTGTTTTAATGAGATACACATCCAGCATGGACGGAGGGTGGGTGGGGAGGTGGTGTGTGACGTCAACATGATGCACAAACCCGCTCAAGCCTGTGGGATGCTGGTGACATCATCATGCAGGTGTGAGCAGTGACGTCACCCATGCATCAGCCAGCCAGGTAACCAGGCAACCAGGAAACCAGCAAAACTTTTGTTGTAATATAGTACTATAGTCTTTGTATACTCAACGACAACCTGTGGAATTTTTGTCACATTTTAAATCTGTGGCTTTAATTTAGTCATTCAGTCTTTCTCTTCATGTCGTCGAAGAAAACGGGCGAAGAAAGGTCCACTTCATGAAATGTTTGTGTGAGGGACACACAGTTCACCACCTCTCCCACAGTACTACCAAGTAAACCACTCAGTGAATTTGGAAAATCTGTGGTTGTAACTGCACCGTGTAGCTACTTTTCCCACTTCCTTAGCCTGCATCTTCATCCAGTATTACGCAAGTAGCTGGAATTTAAAATGTGTTCTACGCATTTTTCATGCAACATTTTAACAGTTGAAATACAGAAAATGGCCAATTAAAAAGGAAAACATCTTCTATATTTGACTTGTAAAATTCGACAAGAGCTAAAAATAATTGTACATGTTAACTCATATTAGCTTTTTACGCAATGAAGGTGAATTACATGTCACTTGAAGGGATCTCAGAGGTAGCTCTGTGATGTCCACTTCTGCAGACCGTTCTCTAACACATGGCCTGCACTCCTCTTTGAGAAATCTGAGTGGATAATTAGTCTTGTGACGTGACACCGATAGCTGGGGAAATGACAAAATGTGCAACTAAAACGTACCTGAAGGCTGATGATCCAGTTCCGTACGGATTTAAAGGTAAACTCGTTGGTGATGTCGTACATCACCAGCACACCATCTGCTTTGCGGAAGTACTGCTTGGTGATACTGCGGAACCTGCAAAGAGCAACAACAAATAATGGGCAGATGAAGATAAAAGAGCTCAAGTGACTCACAGTAAGTGGCAGAAAAGAGGCACAAAAGAGAAAGAACCCCAGAAGGGCAGTTACCCGACGTTATTATGGAAGGGGACTCCCCTTCCAAACAATAACACCACCACCTCCTCCTCACCACCTTCCACTCAAGCCATCAACTCTCCTTACTAGAGGTAAAGTGACGTTCAATGGTAATTTATTTCATTTATTCCATATATGTATTCATATATTCCATTTATTTCTTGTGTTTCTTGTTTTTTGTATGATTTTATGCATGTAATCACTGTAAACTTCGTGTAAAATGCTTTATAATGAGAGATTTCTTGAGTCTGGAACCAATTAATGTCATTTACATTAATTCTTATGAGGAAAATTAATTCGGTGTTCGAACAAATCGGTGTTCGAATGGCCTTCTGGAACGAATTAAGTTCGATCTCCGAGGTACCACTGCAGTGCTAAAAGGTACAGCCCTGCAAATTTGCGAGCTCTCGCCACAAGTCGCAGAAGGGCCTCCATTAAACTGAGCTATTGAGAACCCCTCTTGAGGTTATCGTGGCCTAATCTTCCACACTGGTTAGACATCTTGGAAGAAGTCGCAGTATCCATACTTTACCTCACCACACGCACGTGCTGCCGATCGACTCTGGTGTATTAATTGAAACAACTGCATGGACAGAGGTGCGAGGATTCGTTTTAATTTCTGAGCTGGGAGATCGAATCAGCGACTTCTGGAATGCAAATCTTGAGTGCTAACAATTACACTCTGTCAGATTCCATCACCTTTTCATAGCCTGTGTAAATATTTAAAAATGTGAGGCTATTAAAGTAATGATTGTTCCGACTCGCGAGGGACTGGGATATAGGCGGATGTGTGTCAAAAGGTTCAATAATTGAACATCCATAGAAAATTACAGTTAGACCATGCGGAAATAGGTTACTGGACTAAAATAAACTGCTTTAAACATGAGACAAATGCTCTCCTATATGTTAGACGTAAGTTAATGTATGCAAGATTAAGATTACATTACTGCATGTGAAGGGGCCCGATGTGTAAAGATCTGTAGAAATTGGCAATTGCACTATACAAAAATACCGTACCGGGCGGTTAAATTGGTCACGGTGGATATGTGACAGTCGGATATGCGACGTTGTATTGAGCTGGCAGAGCCATCGACTTACCTCTCCTGCCCTGCTGTGTCCCAAAGCTGCAAAGCGATACGAAAATCTCCCACAGTGAGGGTCTTGATGTGGTAATCCACTCCTGCCGAGCACGAGGAATGTTTTTGGCATGAAAAATTAACCAAAGTCGGTTAGTGGCCAACGTAACATCGTCTAAACAAGCACTATCCACTAAAAAAAATTCCCTGTGACAATGTAAAACAAGGAGAGCATACATTTTCCCAAAAATTTACAATTGAGTGAAATTTGCTGTGAAATTAAATTGACAAGGCATGTTTATTACAGTTTAAATGAAGATCAAAAGGGTAATTAGTCATTCGTTTGCTCATAATATGCGTAGCACATCGTATGCATACACGTACCCACATGTTCATTTTTATTTGAATTGATTTATTTTTAAACGACAGTTTCAAACACTTCACATCTATGGCAACAAAAACATAAATCAATATGTATTGATGTTCACACAGAATTTTACATGGTCCTGTCAGCATTTATTTTAGAGAAAATGACTGTAATACTACTGAAATATATCCAACTGAAAGCCCTTCTCTTTTTCAAAATATCTCAGCTTGATAAATGTACAAGCCCTTGTCAATCCACTGCTGGATGCAGACCTCCCCAAGCACTCTTCGTCATAGGGGTTGTTTGACGATACGTCGCGACTGTGTGATTGGTAAGGGAAAGTTGGGCCACTACCAGTCCAAATATCGCTCACCACTGATATCAGCCATGGCTGGCAATGAAACCCGGGTCGCTGGGTTCACTGCATGGTGCACTAACCACTGCGTCACAACCTCACCTTCAAGTCAAAAAAAAATTAACCCGTAAAAACAACATTTTTCACTATAAATCCTTTATATGCGTGGCATCGGTTTTATTTTATTATTCATTTCTGTTTTTCTTGAGTAAGAGTTTCATTTTTATCACATTGGTATTTTAAATTAAATATGAAAAAAAAAATTCCTAAAAAGTGGAACATTTAGGGAAAATTTTTTCACGATACTAAATTGTCACGCACAACGAGTCTGTGTGCAAAATGTCAGCTCGATTGGATCACGGGAAGTGGGTTAAAAAACGACCGAAAGATTTGCACGGTCGTAAGCACGCAAGCAAGCAAGCAAGTGAACTTAATATAAAGGATTTAAAAATGCAATGAATCAGGCTGCTGAACTTTACGTTTGAGCAATTTTATATTAACATCTGATAACGTTCGCAAGTGTTTTATGGAGTTATCGTATTTATTTTATTATTTCTTTACCATGCATGAGGGTGATTTCGAAATCCATTTAAAGTAACACTCCAATTGCTCTAAAAGCCCCTTCATGTCTGCCCTGCATGTGGAATGCGTAGGGCAATGGGTTCAGCAGAGTAGCAGTGAGCTCAAAATCCATACACAGGCTTCTGTGCTGACATGAAAAGGACTCTTTGACCCGTTGTAAAGTTTTTGAAGTAAAGCTTTCCATAGGAGGCTGGTAAGCAGCAAATATACGGTGATAGCATAAATACATGAATAAACACTTTTGTTTTCTAACAGTGAAGGTCTACTATTTAAATCTTGACTTAAAGCTTTCGTGACTGCAGGAATTCATATTCTTTGGGTCTTTCGGTAAAGCCATGTAGATAGAAAAAATTACAAAAATCTAAATCACGACGTTTTGATCGCAACACAAGCAATCGTCTTCAGGTGAAAAAAAACAAAACGGTGGTTGTGTTGCGATCGAAACGTCGTGATTTAGATTTTTGTAATTGTTTCTATCTACGTGGCTTTACCGACAGACCCAATGAATATGGTCTACTATTCAGTTGCGTCAGTTGGCAATCGATAGCATTCAGTAAGTGGCGTGACATCAGAATGTTTATTGATGCAGATGGCCTTACCAATAGTGGCACAGATGCCGGGAAGAAAGCGCTTCTGGCAGAGCTGCTGGATGAAGCAACTCTTCCCGACGCCAGACTCACCAACAAGAACAACCTTGAAAATCCGGTCGGGTGGCATCTGTCCACACCCCAATTCCTGTGAAACCGAAGGATTGCACCTTTTGTTTACTATTTGACGTTTCAATTAATCCTTGTGCGTGTGTTTTCGTTATACTTTTTTTTGTTACGTATGTAGTAACATAGAATCGGTCACGTAGCAGCATAGCGCTGGCTGCTGGCAGGGAAGGGGATCTGCAGATTAAAGCAGCCCTGACTGACAGCAGGCCACGTGATAGACCAGCGAGGGATCTAGGGAAAGTTACGGAAGGGGCCCATTGGGAACCCGCTCGTAGGTTCCAGAAGGGGGCGTGGCCGGGGCGGAGCCAGGCCACGCTGAGAGTATAAGAGGGGTCCCGGGAGGGGACCTCAGGGCTGTCGTTTGGAGTGGGATCTCCGTCGTTGCTGCTGAAGATCATCACCGTCATCGCTGTCGTCTCGCCGCCTTCGTCGCTGTCGTCATCTGATATTGCGCTGCTAGATGGTAGTTGGCTGCCTTAGTTCAGCGCCGTCAATGTCAGACGGCTAGCGTTGTGTGTAGGCTAGAAACCAGCGTAGAGTTGTGTATAAGCGAGAGACAGAGGAGAGTGTGTAACAGTGTCGGGTGTGTATTGTACAAAGTGTGCACGGTGTTAATTAGAGAACTGCCTCCAAGAACTTACATCTCCAAGCCAGTCACTACACATATACTGTACAGTATACGAGATGTTTGATCTTGTTTTTATATTATTTAAAGATGCTAAGAGGAGTGTAATGTTGTTAAAACATAAACATGTGTTTGTTGGTCTATCTCTCATTGTCTAAAATGTTTTATTATATTTACGACATCTATTGAGTCCTGCAGTTTCGCTATTTTTGTGAGTGTGTGTGTACATTTCAAGGCCTGTGGACACATGGTGCCTAAAGACAGCCTAGTTTTGCCACCTCTGAGGTACAAAAAAAACAACAATTATCACATCAAGATAATCTCACAATAATACCAGAACATGGCGATAACTACACCAACATGGGTTGTCTTGAGTGGCAATGTCCTGTTTAACTGCCAAAAAACGGAGGCATTTCATTTTTCCCAGGTCAGCTACCGGAAAGAGTGTTGATGCGAGAACAACCAGGACAAGTGAGCTTTTGTGGCACCTGGTGTTCTTTGCCTGCTGGACATCCGCGCGGTGTCCCTGGCAGGCCTCCAGTGTACTCCACGTCATCTTCCTCCTCCTCATCGTCCTCTACCTGGACCTGAGACTCAATGGCAGCTGTAGATGAATCTTCACTGCACTGGTTAACATTCTGCGCCGCTGTTTGTCGGCAAAGAATGCTTCTGTGGAGATGGACAAGGTGCGGTGATGGCACAGGAGAAATGTCATTGGCATGAGTTGGCTGCATCAATTCGTGAGCAGGCAAGGTTGTTATGGTTGACAGTCTGGCCAAACTTGGGATATACATGATTAAAGAATGTGTTGAATATGATAGCGTTTTAACCAAGTCTTGCCTTGGCAAGTTTTCTATTGGAAATTGGTGCTGGCAACAAAAGTGCTTGAAGAACAAAAACATTACAATGTTAACAAAACGCACAGGATTGCACCAAAAACAAATGAGGTAATAAATGGTTGCTGTGCCTCCCTTAGTTGGTGCTTAAAGCATTTCCCAAAGTCTATAACTTGACATTTCTGAAGAATAAAAATTACACTATATTCTTGGGTCTTTCGGTAAAGTCATGTAGATAGGTTCAAAGAAAATAACAAAAAGTGACAAAAAACTACGACGTTTCGATCGCAACACAAGCGGTCATCTTCAGGAAAAGGGGGGTTAGTTTCCAAGGCAAACTGTTTATAAGGGTTTGAAATGGGGGAAACCCAAATGTCAGCAGCCAATGACAATGTAAGTGGTGGACAGCCAACCCGACGGTGGTTGTTTTTCCACCAATCAAAGGGCTGCCAGGTGACAATTAGCATGTTAAAGAGAGGGGAGGGAAGTGTGTTTAAGAGACTACGGGGACTACTTAATGTAAAGCTTATGTCCCTGATTATTCAAATTCTGGATTTATAAGGACAGACTCAAAGGGCCAAAATACCAAACGATCAGCAGCAAACAGCACTATTGAGGGTGTAATAGATTAATTAAATACGTTTCTTGAATATACCAAGGTTAAAACAGCTTGGGAAAAGAGATAAAGGTGCCGTGCTGGCTTTTAAAGGTGCTTGCTAACAGCACTTGCCCCAACAGTCTGGTGCAGGCTATAGGGGGGATCTTCGTCTTTATATATGTATAATTGTATGTAATTGGGGTGTGTTTTGGGTTGGTTTTGTGTGTATATGTAATGTGGTTAACATTAGCCTGTGACTTAAAGTTAATTCCTTGCCATGGCTACCATTGGCTCAGGGTTCCCATCATCGGTGGTGATGGGAACACCGAGCCTCTCCTAGGGAAACTCAGCCTTAAATTGGTACCTGATGCAGTGTACACATGTAGGCCAAAATAGTTATGTCAATTTGCATTAAATCATACATCCCAGCACTGTGACAAACGATATAATGTGACAGTGCGTCCAAATGCGTTATAAATAGTCGTGACAAGACAGGCACAGGGCATGATTCATGGGCCATCGATTAGAAATCTTTAATTGCCAAAGGTGAAAGGAGTTAGCTCCATGAGTCAACGTGAACATGATGTCTTTACGAAGCTCAAAGAGTACATGTGATACAGCCCCTCTTATGTTCCAACAATGCTATCTTGAAAAAGCAGCACTGAACAGCTGATTTCCATTAAAGGGTTGTGATGAAGACATGATAGAACATCATGTTGTTCACTTTTGCATTGTGTGGCTGGGTAATGGCTTCGTATCATGATGCCCAAGGCACTGTGCATTATTTACTGCATTGCTAGAAAAGTTAAGTAATAGATGGATTGGGATTATTTAAACACATATTTGAATTGTGCATGATTAAAATTGATGTTCGGATTTACTTATGTGAAAAGTATTTTTCTTCAGAATTGAGTACATCAGCGACGAAAATACAATAAGTGGCGAGGCATGGTGCTAATTGCACCATGCCTTCGTGCGTCGCGCGTGCAGCACTTTCCACCAGAAAGCTCTGTGGTTATCTGCATGTGTGTGTGCTCACCTCTGAGTGCATGCGAGCACACATGTTACACACACTCTCAGCCAGTTAGTCTATAAAACCTGGCTCTGTCCCACGACCTTCAGCCAGCAAGCCTGCGGCACTTTACGTCGCATCAGAGAGCACCTACATACTGGCAAGATATCCAGATGTTCACTGCACTGTACATTATCTACTGTATTGCTTGAAGAAGGTGAAGTAATACATGGACTAAATACTCTTTGGTTCTTTCGGTAAAGTCACGTAGATAGAAAAATAAAACAAAATAAAAATTATATATCACGACGTTTCGATCGCAACGCAAGCGGTCGTCCTTAGGAGGGAAAAATAATCCAGCAGTGGAACTGCTGAACCTACCTACGTGACTTTACCGAAAGAACCAAAGAGTATGGATTCCTACAGTCACGCAAGCTTCAAATCAAGATTAATACATGGATTGACATTTGTTCCAACATATTTGAATTGTACATTATTGAAACTGACATTTGGGATTCGTGCGCCATGGCGACATCGCGTAATTTTGTATAGAATGGCGTTTGTTGTTTGTTATTGCGCAGGGATTGGTGGTTGTTAAGTTTCTCACCTTCGTGGAGACTTGCTGTCTTGCAGGTAGTCTCCAATGACGGAGCCCTCGCGCACAAGAGGAGCATGGTTTCCCATGGGTGCGGCAGGTTTGGTCCCTGATTGGCACGTGCAGCGGCCCTGCTTTGGGATAAAACAAGTATAACCCGTAAAAACAAAGTTTTTCACTATAAATCCTTTATATGCGTGGCGGCTAGAGTCCTCTCGTCCTCTGGCTTGAGATGGCTGCCACCTATGGGTCAGATGATTGCATGGCAGCATTAAGCAATTGGTAATTAAATATAATATTTTTGTCCTAAAAAGTGTAAAATTTTGGGAAAAAAATTACACGAACATTAATTGTCACACACAACGAGTCTGTGTGGAAGATGTCAGCTCGATTGGATCACGGGAAGTGGGTTAAAAAACGACCGAAAGATTTGCACGGTCCTAAACAAGCAATGCAAGCGAACTTAATATAAAGGATTTAAAAACATCGTGGTCCAGCACTTTCTGATCACATAATTTACTCTATTCAGATAAATCTAACCCATTCACTGCATGCCACTTAGCCAACCCAAATCGGCCCAAGCAAACCTTTCTACTTCCATCTATTGATCCAACGTACGCATTACCCGACCCGTCTAAAGCATGGGATCAGTGTCTTTCCACAGGTTAATTTGAAAAATATATTTCTTCAATGAAAGCTGTTTCTTTACAGTTATATAGGGCACTTTTTTGTGAATGGGATTTTAATGTGTGTATTGTGCGATACAATAGCAGACAATTGTTTTTTCTTACCTTGCAATTTTCAAAAGAATCCTTTTCATCTCTCAGATATCTATTCATGTCTCTGTTAAATAAAAAATAGTCACAGAGTAAAGTCTTGACAAAAGATTGATAACGATGTTGCAAAGCAAAAGCCACTCATCATCGAGGTATTGACCTGCCGTTGACTCAAATAATGCCCTTCACATTGAACATTTGTACGCACCACAAATAACCGCTGATTTTGAACAATAAACGTGATGCTCATGGAAGATAGCGGCCGGTGCCAAAAATAGCACATGGGATGTGAGCCTATGGAAGGGTAGTATTGATTTGTTGTTTTCGTTTTGTTGAGGTGACGAGAGGGGAGTGATCAATTGAATTTGTTTTTTTTTAATTCACGTGTTAATCAACGATCGAACGCATCCCTTCCTTGGCACAAATGAATAATTAAAATACTATACGCACGTAAAGTCGTACAGATCAGTGAGGCCGATTTGAAAACTTGCATTTTGAAGCATGGGTTTGCATTTGTCTTTTAAGCAAGCCAATAAAAGGAGCTTGTTTTTAGCGATTGGTGCCTTGACTAAAACAAAGTAACAATAAAAATATATGATTGCTGCTATCTACGATGTCAGTTATATTGAATGCTTGCTATTTTCTTCATGGTTCTTTCAGTAAAGTCACGTAGAAGGGAAGTAATAAAATAATAAAACATAATAAAGGGAAGTAATAAAATAATAAAACATAATAAAATAATTCTCACGACGTTTCGGCTACAACACAAGCAGCCATCCTCAGGTCTATCGAGGCGACAGACCTGGTCTTCACCTACGTGACGTTACCGAAAGAACCAAGAAGATGAATCCCTGCAGTCACGAAAGCTTTAAATCGAAATGCTTGCTATTTGGCTGGCATACCATTTCAGCAACATATACTCTAAAGTACCTACATAGCACATGAAAGCAATACCGTATTTAATCTTGATTTGACACGTATATAACCTCTTGTTGTAACAGCTCTCTCGCTGTGTTCTTCCTGGTTCAGCAGTTCCACTGCTGGATTATTTTTCCGCCTGATGACGACCGCTTGTGTTGCGATCTGAACGTCGTGAAAAATTATTTTGTATTTTATTTTATTTTTCTACCTACGTGACTTTACCGAAAGAACCAAAGAGTAATGCAGTATTTCTTCATCTCAAACTCTACAATAATAGCCATACCTATTTAATTGTAACGGAAATGCATATTCTTTGACGTAATGCTTTTATTTATTGCATGTCGGGATTTTCAAGCGGCAAAGGTAAAATGTGCAGCCCTGCAATTGCTTGCTCAAACCACTGCTGGTGGATGGGCCTTGACGAGAGCGAGCTCTCCACAGCCCCTCGGAGAAGCTATGTTAGTCTACTCCAGACTGGCCAGAAGTCTTGGAAGTTGTGAAAGTACCCGCAGCTTACCGCACCACCTTACAATTAAATACATTTTATATATTTCAGTTAGGTAACCGTTGTGTATCCATTTATACTCCTAGGTGCATAGAGAGAGACGGGAAGGTTTAAGAAGTGTGGACATTGTTTTAACTGCTTCGTCAGGGTATCGAACCGGCAACCTCTGGATTGCAAAGTTCACTGTCCGAGCCGTCACACCATGGCAGCATCCCATTTCACACAGCGACGTGTGCTTAATTCTGCAGGCATAGATGGCATCAGCTTGTATAATAGACGACGTTTGACATCGGCTGTGTCACTCGCACGTCAGCAATCATTCATTCGCATGCGCTGTTTGCGTAATAAATTATCCAGCGAGTGATGTGCTGTCATGGAAACGTGGTGGGCAGAGTAAAAAATATTACGCACTTAATTACATTTTAATCAATATGCCATTTAGCTAGCACTTCAAAGAAAAAGATAAATGTAACAGGCAGACTGGAGTCGGCAGTGTTGTTAAACATAATGTGGAACACAGGAATACATTAGCAGTGAATTGCGTTTGCCTGTGTGAATTAATGTAAAGGTTTTGGAGCTGAGCTTTTCTGCTGGCTTCTGTGTGCAACTGGAGTGGTTTTCCAATAAGTCCCGGTGTGCAGTATTAGATGGTGAAGAGGTCCAGCACAATACTGGACCTCTGTTAATATCAGTAATGGGAACGACATAAATCCTTCCAATGTGTGCTATGAGCAAAAGGCTGGGCGTTAGGAGAAAGGGAGTTTGCATGATGTTCCCTCCTATTTTTAAATCCTTTATATTAAGTTCGCTTGCTTGCTTGCTTGCGTGCTTGCTTGCTTGCTTACGACCATGCAAATCTTTCGGTCGTTTTTTAACCCACTTCCCGTGATCCAATGGAGCTGACATTTTCCACACAGACTCGTTGTGCGTGACAATAAATTTTCGTGAAATTTTTTTTTCAAAATTTTACACTGTTTAGAGAATTTTTTAAAAATATTTAATTACCAATTGCTTAATGCTGGCAGACAATCATCTGACCCATAGGTGGCAGCCATCTCAAGCCAGAGGACGAGAGGACTCTAGCCGCCACGCATATAAAGGATTTAGAGTGAAAAACTTTGTTTTTACGGGTTAATTTTTTACATTGCCAATTACAAATAACATCAGTTATTTCTGTATTAGGAGGAGCGGTGGTGCAGTGGTTAGCACACAGCGCAATTAACGTTCAAGGAGCTTCTTCGGTTGATGAAGAATTCATAATAATCATGCCGAACATCACGTGGTACAACTACTGGCAAGATGTTAACTACCTCACCTAGTATGGAGGAGATCGTGGGTTCGATCCCGACTCTGACGCTTGTATATTTGGAGTTTGCTTGTTCTCCCCCGTGGTTGCATGGATTTTTCTAGGGGTCCTCAGGTTTTTTCCCCCTCCACATTTAGAAACAAGCGTTGAAGAGTATTTGGCTGCTATCAATTTCCACATGATAAGCCACTTCCATGAGCTGCCATTTGTGATAGCCAGGTTGCTTCTGAAAAAGAGCTAGATAGCTCAGTGGGCCTCAACTGATGAGCAATATCTTAACTGGTTCTGGGCGCCCCCCCCAATCCACATTCACAACACCACAAACCGACCGGGCATGGGGAGGCCTCCATGCTTCAGGCAACTGACAACGAGTTCGAAGTTGTGATCGTCATTCTTTAATGCTAACAACATTTTAAAAATGTGAGATCTCTAAAACCTATAGGGTTTTGATGAAAAATAAACGTTTCTCAAGGAATACTGGTGCTCCAAGTACGTAAGAGCTGGAGCAAAATAAATGATTAATCGGCTCCATGGCAGATTCATTAGGAAAGCGCATAGACAATTGTAAAAAAAATACGGTCTGAACATCGTAATTAGAAATGATGCTGAATCAGTAGTTCAACAAATTATAAATGCATTCACCGAGTGCCATAGCAACTTCATAATAGAAGTGCTTTTTACGTATGAAAGCCGTATCACCCGACAATGACATTTTCATAATTTATAAAGAACAGCAAGCGGTAGTGAAGTGTCAGCTCAAGCATTGATTTTACATTCTCTTTGCAAACCCAGAATAGTACATTATGTATGCGCATGCGCATTTTGTACGTTGACTCATTAACCCCCCCCCCCCCACCACTTTGCGCAAGAGCGCAGAAGTGTGGTCACCACATCTGCGCCTCTATATATAAGGAACGAAACAGGTGGACTTCTCCACAAATCTGGCTGTCGCCTGATGAAGCTAGTTGTAATTACTGGCGAAACGTCGTACTCAGTTTGTAAATGTTGTGGCTTGGCTCTCCATCACACCGTTGTGCTGTACTAGTGACGAATTGGCACGTTCTGTTTACGTGACAACCCTTGCTAGTTGGCTGTGTCGGGTGGTGGCGGGTTTTAATGACACATTTATATATTTACGCGATCTAACCCAAAAAAAACTTTTATTATGGACTAACCACGTATTTTTTGGCATTACAATGAGTATGTACATAGATACGTATACAAGTCTATGGTGCATCCCTCAAAATTTGAGCTCACAGCGCCTAAAGCCCCTGTATTAAATCTGGGCCTGTCCACATGGGCCAACATCACCGCAGGGTAGATCCATGAGACGACTCTCCACAGGTCTTACCGGAGCATGTCAAGCTGCTTGAGGAGAATGGACGTCTCGCTCTGCACTGTCACGGAAGCGGACGAGCTCGCCTCCCTGCGGAGACACCAACAATCACTTTGACGGCGGCTTGAAAGATGACATTTCAGAGAGACCAAAGCAAGAATATGAATGGTGTTTTACAGTTGAACGTTTCCTGTTTACTCTGGTGTCGATTATTTGGTCAAAGTTGAGAAGTGACATGAAAACATACGCATTACACTTTTTATTTCACCAGGTTAGGCCCACTGAGCTATATAAATATTTTTTTCAGACAAGGCCCACTGAACTCAAGGAAGCGGCTTATCATGTGTACATTTATAGCAGTCAAAATACTCTCAACGCATGTTGATTCTAAATGTGGAAGGAAAACCTGAAGTACCCGGAGAAAAATCCACGCGACTACGGGGAGAACATGCAAACTCCAAATATACAGGCATCAGGTTCCGGATCGAAACCACGACCTCCTGAAAAGCAGGCAAGGTAGTTAATTTTAAAAAAATAGGTTTTTGGGTTAGATCGCGTAAGTATAAATGTGTCGTAACCCTCTACCACCCGACAGAGACAATTAGGGATTTGTAACGTAAACAAAAGCCAATTAGTTACTACTTCAGCCCACCGGTGTGTTGGAGAGTAAATCCACAACATGTACAATTTGAGTACGCCGTTTCGTGGGGAATTACATCCAGCATCATCAGGCGATTTGCCAGAATATTCTGGCGTGATCTAACCCAAAAACCTTTATTATGAATAATATTGGTCATGAAAACCTATGTGTTAAAAGGTAGTTAATATCTAGTCATTATGGTTAACATCTAGTTACCATGGCGCCCCTCATGACTTTGAGGATGATAGGAATTGCACAATCCAGTGTCGTAAATAGGTATTCAAATGTAAATAGGTTTACAATTAACTTAAATAATTACAACTAGGCGAAAATATAACGTGTCTGTTTTGAACGGCAAAGTGACCAGTGGATATCAGAAAAGTAATGGATTCTTGAATCCATCTGTACAGAGTTATGAGTGTTATTTCTTCATATGTGTGATTTTCTCTCGGTGCTCTAGTTTTCAGCCCACATTCCAAACATTCAGTCATGGAATTGACAACACATCTCAATGTAGGACCATCTTGAAGAGAGTTGAGAGACTCGGTGAGGCTTTACTGGACAAAGGGCGTGACGGTATTATTATTATTATTGATCTAAACTTAATTTATATTGATGGTTCACCTTCGCTCGAGGCACTTGCCAATGCCTCCAAAATGGCGACGGAATAAAATGATTTAGATGGTAGGGGCGTACAAGTGTAGAGGTGATACGCGCTGGGATTAGGGATCGTATGCCAGCGCGTAATGATTGGCTGTGTAGGTGGTGACGCGCGCTGACGGTGGAGGATCAGGGGTCAGCGCGGGGTCGTGGGTTACGGGGTACTGATTGGCTGTGGGCCCGTGCCGCGCTGAGAGGGAGTGATCGGGTGGCAGCGCGGTGTGATTGGTAGAGTGTTAACACGCGCTGGGGAAAACGGATCGTAGAGAGAGTGCGTCGTGATTGGTTCACTAGGGAACGATGCTCACGTCGACGTCCGGATCAGCTCCGTCTCTCGTGAGCAGGATCTATAAAAGGGGATGCACACAGGCGTAAGGGCAGTATGTAACCAGCGAAGAATGAAGACGGGGATGAAGACCTAGGGCCCTGCGGTACCTAGTCCCGCTGTCCTAACGGGACCGGGACTCTGTGTAACCCAGAGGCGAGTGTAGTGTGTGTAGCCATAGGCATAGAGTCTACACGAGCCGAATGTATTGTGTGTAGCCAGAGGCATAGGGTCTACACGAGTCAAGTGTATTGTGTGTAGCCAGAGGCATAGGGTCTACACGAGTCAAGTGTATTGTGTGTAGCCAGAGGCATAGGGTCTACACGAGTCAAGTGTATTGTGTGTAGCCAGAGGCATAGGGTCTACACGAGTCAAGTGTATTGGGTGTAGTCAGAACCATAGAGTCTACACGAGTTAAGTGGAGTGTGTAGTCGGAAGAAAAGAGACCACACGTTGTATTGTGAACGTAAAGATTTAATAAAAGTGTGTTACCCGTCAAGAAGTTCCTGCCGTCAATTCCAATACTTCAACTGGCGTCAGAAGTGAAACGGTCTTCCAAGCATGGAGACAAGGAAGACCCGTCGGACCCACGGGATTGACCGCGGGGACAACCTCGACGACTCAGGCCAGCTGGCATCGGGGGGTGAGGACGAGGAATTGCCCACGCTGCAGGATCCGCCGACGGCGCCGGACGAGCGACGGGGGACCGACGCCGTGCTCCGCGAGGCGCACTCCCGCCTGAAGGAGCTGCTGCTCGCCGCCGCGTCCATCCTGGCGGAGATCAGCTCGTCGGGAGGAGCGGGGACGGCGGCGGACGTTCTACAGGGTCGCCCCGCAGATTCCCGCCAAAACGACTTGGCGATTCCCGCCATTTCATCTGCGCCGACTTTTGGCGGGAACGGCCATCACCACGTGGCAGCGGTTCTCCAAGCGCGCCCGCTTACGTCACCAACGCGCGCTGCGGACCGCCATCAGACACCCGCCACTGGGGCCGCCATCTTACACACCGACGGGGCGGCGGAGAGGAAGCACGAGGAGGAGGACGACTTCATCTTTCAACAGCGCCTTCCCACGTTGTCAGCCTTCAAGGCGGAAGGCGGGGATTGGAGCCAATTTCAGCGCAGGTTTTTGGCGCATCAGGAGATGTCTGCCTGGTCCGACGCTACGGCACTGCGGGCACTGCCTGCCATGCTGGACGACAACGCGCTCGCGGCCTTCACGTCCGCACGCAGGTCGGACCGCTCCACGCTCAAGGATGCGCTGGCTCTCATGGCCAAGGTCTATGGTCCTCCCTCGGCGTGCCGCCATCATTTTTATGCAAGACGGAAGGCGGACACGGAGACCGTGCTCGCCTACCGCACGGCGTTGCTTGCTCTCGCCGACGCCGCGTTCCCTCGTATGGACGAGGAGGGCCAAATGCGATGGTTTTGGAGCAACTGCTCAAGTTGGCGCATGACCTGGGGGTCCCCATCAACACGGCCGACGAGACCGATATTTCTTCCTTACGGGTCGCTACGAGCATACAAGCGCACGAGGTCCTCCAACGTAAACAGGGGGTCGTCTGCAACGCTGCCGTGGCCTCAGCTCCGGGCCCGGTAGTCACCGTGCCCCAAGTCGTCAGCCCACGAGAGGAGGCGTTCATCGCGGGACGACTGGGGGACTGGAGGTCGGGGGGTCGTTCGCCTCTGCGATCGGCCCGCAAGCTGGAGCAACCGAGATCTCCGACGACCCTCATCACGTGTTATAACTGCGGCCTCCGGGGCCACGTGGCGTCTGGCTGCCGCGCCCCACGTCAGCGCACCATGGGACCTCGGCTGGACGACGAACAAGGCCCCAAGTCATCCCTACAAACCCCGGCGAGTCGCGGCACCTCACATGCTCGGCCTGCATACTCGACACGCATGGTCCGTCGTGTTGCGGCGGAGGAGAGCCGGTTAGGGTTCGGGGATTCGGTTCGGCGAGGGGGGTTCAGCCGGGTCCGGGGAGACATTAAATGGTCGGAGTTGGGGCACAGAATAGTGGCTGCCAGAGCGGGTTCATCCGTCGTTACGGGATCTATTGATGGGGTCGAGGTCAGGGTGTTAGTGGACACGGGGGCATCGGCGACTATTATATCGGACCTCATTTATAACATTCTCCCTGTACAATGTCGTCCGCTTCTTCCGGTGGATGTGCCATTTTACGCCGCTAACGGGGGATCGTTGGGCATTATCGGTCAGATTAGGGCGTCCATTTGCATTGGTGATATCAAATTGTCGGGACCCGTTTTCGTTTCGTCCTCCCTGGCGGTTCCTTGTCTATTGGGCACTGATTTTTTGGCAAAAATGCCCATCAAAATTCTCATTGATCAGCGTTGCATTGAACTACCATCGGGTCGCCGTATTTCATTTTTGACGAACCCTACTGAAATTCGGACGGCGTGCGCTACGATACAAGCGTTAGCAACACAGACCGTGCACGTGCCCCCGGGTTCACAAATGTTAATTCCCCTCCGGTTGCGGAAACCATGGGTGAGGGAGACCTCGGATCAAGGCACGCTTTTGGGTCCTTCAAATAGGGCTGTTGGAGGTCTCGATTTGTCGGTGGCTCACCCTTTGGTTGGGGCTGACAGGGATCCGTTTGCCATGGGTTTACACGCTGGGTCGCGGCCGGCCGTCATTCAGCAGGGCACCGTGCTAGCTCACGCGGCACGGGTCCCTGCGGAAGAGCGGCTGGTTGCGCAGGCTGATCCGAGCCCCACGCAAAACGTTAATCCGAAGGAGGACCTCGAAGGGGTCGATTCGCTGTGCGTGCGACACACAAATGCCGATGCCCTGTCGCGGTTGTTGCCTTGTCACAAATGTGCGTGCTTGTCGGGATCGGCGCGCTGTAAACCGCCAGTTACGGAAGGTATGGAGGAGTTGGTTGCGACCGCGGGCACACCAATTGGGGATGTTCCCGCTACCCCAGGGGGTCAGGACTCGCTGCTCTCACTGTCGTTGATTGAGTGGGGCCGTCTCCAAATGGCGGACAGCTCCCTGCTAGCATTGCGCCGCAAGACGGGGGGTTCCGAAGGGGACCATGAACGAACTGGCTCCTACGTGCTTAAGCAGGGCCTGTTAATGAGATGGGACAGTTTGTCCCGGCGGCACGCGATTGTGGTGCCTTCTGCTGTGAGGGGGAAGGTTGTCTTGGCCGCACACGAACGCCTCTTGCATTTGGGAGTTAACAAAACGCTTGCCCTGCTTCAGCGTGACTATTATTGGCCGGGAATGGGGGGTGACGTGGTGAATATTCTGAAGGGTTGTGTTGAGTGCGCCAGACGGAAACCACCGCCTGTGGCAGCTAATCCACCGCTGCAATCTATTCAGGTCTCGCGCACTAACGAGCTCGTTGCACTCGATATTCTGGGGCCTTTTCCAGTCACGCCTAGGGGTAATAAGTACCTGTTGGTGGGGGTCGAATATTTCACCCGGTGGCCTATGG